AGACAGGTAAAATCTGCACAGCATTACTTCTCAGCAGGTGAGCGTTGTGCTTGCCTATGGGTCTGTGCTGTGCACACAACAGCCCTTCCTGCCATCCAGGGAGCAAATATGTGGTCTTGTTATCCCGAGCTTATGCTCCCCAAGTGATTGTGCAATAGTGGGCATGTTTAAGTAAACATCTAAGAATTTTTAATAAAAGATGAATAGCATCTGGTAATAGTAGTCCCAGGGACATGGGTGGCTTAGTGGGAGACCTTCTGTGTGGAAGACCTGGGTTTGATTCCTGGCCAGTGCACCTTGAAGCACGACCACCATCTGTCTGTCAGCAGAGGCCTGAGTGTTGCTATGATGTTGAACAGCCTTCAGTGACACTTCCAGACTAGGAAGGAGGACTTAGTAATCTCGTTCCAAGATCAGCCAGTGAAGGTCCTGTGAGTCAGGACTGATCCACAGTGAATCACAGTATGTCCTTACGATGGGAAGCCTTTTGTGCTCTTGCACATGCAGTGGCCATGTCCTGAAGCTGGCCAGATGGCAGCTAATACCAACATCCTAGTTATTCTTCAGGGCCTTCTAGTCCCTAGGGAGTTATGCTGTCACTCACAGGCCATACATCTCTGCTGGTTTGAAGCCACCAGCAGCTCTGAGAGAGAAAGCTGTGATTTACAACCTCTGAAACCTCAGAGAGGATTAACTATGAATGGTTGATTCGTACTTGACAGCAGTGAGGGACAGAGTTATTCTTCATGTTTGATGAGAACGGCCCAAAAGAAATGGCTTTACATTACAAGAATGTCCTGTCCCACCCATACCACCAGTGTGCCTTTCTCGAGATTTAAATTCTCCCAGAAGTCTCCAGTAGAGGCTTCGGTTCTGCATCTCTCTGAGATGCTCTGGAGAGGCTCCTCACTGTGACCCCAGAGGTGGCCTCTTCTAAACATCTGGCTATTTCTTGGTAGCAGGACTTAAAATTGCCCGGTGTGTAAGTTCTCCACAGCAACACAGGAACACAAGTACACAGATTTTAACCCAGAAAGCCAGTGTTAAACCCTCAACCCACCATCAATAAAAAAGGAAGAATACTCCTTCAGAGGAATTGGGACACTTCTCTGGGGTTAATTCTGGTGCTCTGTAGAACTGCCAGTCTCAGTCCTGCCCCTTTACATCTGTCTTACAAGAACTTAATGTCCTCAGAAGAACTTAACAAGTCACATCAAATTAGAGGAATCACACACATGACTTCAGGACGATGCACACAGGGTCTTTAAGACATCATCTAGTTTCCGACACTGAACCATGTCCTGCTTTTAGCAGGACAGCAGACCCATCTGCGGAGACTATTCTCTGTTAAAAATGAAGATGAGATTTGTCTAGAATAAAATCTCTACCCTGGAGTCATCATGCAAATGGTTAATTTGCTTGCCTGCTATCCTGAAAGATCGAAGTTCTAGTCCACCCAGAGGGATCTCAGAAGAAAGCCTTGGCCATCTGCTTCCTAAAACCCAGCTGTTAAAAAACCTGATAAAGCAAAGCTGTGCTGTGCTCACAAGCCACGGAAGTGACTGGACAGCGGCGCGTGCTTATGAGGAGCTGTGCACCACCCCGGGCTGTCGCTTTGCCCAGTTGTGGTGGCTCATGTGTTGTTGTGATCCTGGAAGCTAGGCCACCAGTTTTTAAAATACCAGCAGGGTCACCCATGGTGGACAGGTGTCAGTGGAGTTTCCAGAGTGACTAGCAAGAAAGGCCTGGCTGGCTGCTTCTGAAACCAGCCACTGGAAATCCTGTGGAGCATGGTGGTATCGTGACACCCATGGGATCGCTGTGCATCAGAATAATTTTGACAACATTAGAAAAACTTATCTAAGGAAAGACCCTTCAGTGCTATGCATGGAAGCAGGCCAGGCCAGCTGGAGAAGGAGCCTGTCACTAAAAGGAATCAGTCTTTAAGTTGTCAAGTGTTTGGGAGCAGAGTTGAAACCACCTGTATTATACACATCTTCCTGCATTACTGATTTTATTATACAGGGTTGACATTTTAATTTGACATGACAAAAAAATTTTCGTTTAGGCCCTGGGAATGAAATGTCATTTAAATGCATTAAAGCAGTTGCTCACCCATGTCAGGCTCCCTTTTGGCATGAGTTGAGCATCGGTGCCCTTTGCCTGTCTCCATTGCTGCTTCCTGACTCATGGTGACTCTAAGCGTGTCATACCTCGACTTTGCTCTGTACGGGTTTCAGTGGCTGGTCTTTCAGAAGTAGATGTCCATCCCTTTCTTCCAATTTACCTTTGAGTGGATTTGAATTTCCAACCTTTCTGTTAGCAACCAAATGTATCACCACTTGCACCACTTTGGGACTCCTGGCCTGGCAAGGCTGGTTTTCAGTCCCAGCTGGTCTTTAGAATCCACAGCGCCTCACAGTGACCTTGTAGAACACAGTAGAAGGCCCCACAGAGACTGGTCATCTACTTTTGAAGAACGAATCACTGAAAACCTTATAGAGCCTTACACGCAGCTCTCACCATGAAAAGGAAACAGTGTGACGGCAATTCGTTCCTTGGCTGCTGCATCACTTTGCACTTGGTCCTTAAGGAGTTGTTGCTGCTGAAATTATTGCTGCAGCCCCTCTCACTCCCTTTTTAAAAGTCTCCTATAGGGCTCTCTGACATCAGCTACAGTTCAACCATGTAAGAGTGCAATTTTATAAGTAGAAATCAAAATGGCAACTTCATATGACTGAGCTGAAAATAAATACACAAAAGGATCTGCAGTTATTAAAAACCCAACTTACTCTCTCCAAACCAATTATTTAAATCTCTTAAGAAAGTGAATATAGTTGCTCTCAGGGCACTTCCCAATATAACCAGCTCTGCTGGTTACCCTTCTTCCCAATGAGGAGTTGTGGATACTGAGGAAAGGACTGAGGTGACCGATTTTAAAGAGGAAATTTGTTGACCAGGAAATTGGTGCTGTCAGTACTTTCCTAGTCAAATTGGATTTTTTTTTTTGGTAGAATTAGAACTGACCCATAGCTGACCATCCAGCAAGTTTTCAGAGGCAGTAAATCACACAGGAGGAGACTGTTCATCTTTCTCCCACGGAGCAGCTGGTGGATTCGAACTGCATGCCTTTGCATTGGCAGCACAGCTCCTTACCGCTAGGCCACACGAGCTCCTATCACCTCCACATTCATAATCATCTTCTCATTTCAAGAGATCACTAGTTCTTTGTACTGGCTCCATTCTTGTTGTGGATAGTGATGTTTTTACTGTTGAGTCAGAACCGACCCATAGCTGATCCCACAGCAAGTTTTCAGAGGCAGTTAATCGCAAGGGAGGAGATTGCCCATCCTTCACCCTGGAGCGGCTGGTGGATTCAAACCGCATGCCTTCGGGATTGCAGCACAGCTGCTTCCCACTAGGCCACTGATTTGTTGTTGTTATGTGCCGTCGAGTTGCTTGCGACTCATAGTGACCCTATGTACAACAGCCCTAAAGTCTGCTCTGTCCTGTGCCAATCTCACTGTCTCTGACACTCCCTCCTGATTACCCCAGTCACTGAATCAATCCACCTCATAGAGGGTCTTCCCCTCCTGCGCTGTCCCTCCACCCTCCCAAGCATGATGTCCTTCTCCAAGGACCGGTCTCTCCTCACAACATGTCCAAAGTATGTTAGACGGAGCCTCAGAATCCTTGCCTCCAAGGAGCCACCCGGTTTAACCCTTTCCAGGACGAATCTGTTTGTTTTCCTAGCAGTCCGTGGTACCCTCAATACTCTTCTCCAGCACCACAGCTCAAAGGCATCAATTCTCCTATCCTCCTTGGTCATTGTCCAACTCTCTGATGCATAACAAGTGATTGCGAAGACCATGGCCTGTATCAGACACACCTTAGTCTTCAGAGAGACACCATTGCTCTTCAGTACTTTGGAGAGGTCCCTAACAGCAGACTTTCCCATGGCAATGCGCCTTTTAATTTCCTGGCTGCTGGTGCCAAGACTGTTGACTGTGGAGCCAAGCAAACTAAAGCTGTGTACAATCTCAATCTCTTCACCATCCATCCTGATGCTGCCAATTGGCCCAGTGGTGAGAATCTTTGTCTTCTTGACATTGAGCCTCAATCCATATTGTAGGCTGCAGTCCTTGACACTCTGCAGCAGATGCTTCAGGTCCTCTTCAGTTTCAGCAAGCAGGGTTGTGTAATCTGCATAACGCAGATTGTTGATAAATCGTCCACCAATCTTGACCCCACATTTCTCCTCATAGAGCCCAGCCTCCCGGATAATCTGTTCTGCATATAGGTTGAAAAGATATGGAGATAGGATGCATCCCTGGCGTACGCCCTTCCCAATTTTGAACCATGCAGTGTTCCCTTGCTCTGTTCTGACGATTGCCTCCTGGTCCAAGTATAGGTTTCACATTAGAACGATCAAGTGTTCTGGGATTCCCATTCTTCTCAGAGTCAGCCATAGTTTGTTATGATCCACACAGTCAAATGCCTTTGCATAGTCAATGAAACACAGATAGACATTCCTCTGGTATTTCCTGCTTTCAGCCAAGATCCATCTAACATCAGCTACAATATCCCTAGTACCACGACCCCTTCTAAACGCAGCCTGGACTTCTGGTAGTTCTCTGTTGATGTGCTGTTCCAGTCGTTTTTGGATAATCTTCAGTTAAATCTTGCTTGCATGTGAAATCAGTGAGATTGTTCTGTAGTTTCCACATTCTGTTGGGTCACCTTTCTTTGGGATGGGAACAAATATCGATCTCTTCCAGTCAGTTGGCCAAGTGGTTGTTCTCCAGATTTCTTGGCACAATTTGGTGAGCACATCCAGGGCGGCATCTGTTAGCTGAAATATGTCACTGATAGCGTACTCAAATAAGGGACTAGAAGAGCTAAGGCTTTTTATTAGAGCTTCCTTTCCCAAATGGGACAGTTCACTCCAGCATGGCAGCCACTGTCCGCCTGACCAGCTCTCTCTGCCCTTCTTCTTGCAGGTGGGATTTTAAGGAAGGGAGCAAAGCTTTTCTTCCGCCGGCGGCATCATCACAAAGACCCGGGCATGAGCCAGTCCCACAATGACCTCATGTTTCTGCAGCAGCCGGAGGGGGCCAGGAGGAAAGGAACAACTCTCGGCAAGATCCTGAACAGGAAGCTGTTGTCCAAACACAGAAGCAAGAACGTCATGAATGGGGCTGCCATAGACCCCAGTGCGTAGGGGCTCATGGGGGGCCGCCTCCTGCTGGTGAATCAGCACTAACACCCTAACACCCTCACCAGGACAAAGTGTACCTGTCTGTCAGGTAGTCCTGCTTTGTCTAACTTGGTGTTTTCCAACAACTTGACCTTTTAAAGGGAGAAGAAAAAAAAAGTATACGTGTATCTCCAGCCAGGAGGCTTCCTCTCTGGAGCCAATAACCTCATTTGCCACCAGATGCCAATTCAGACCCAATATTCAGGCTGGGCAGGAGTCTAAGTGGAGATTAAATATTGTAAGGTTTACATTGTGAACTACATGACATGACATGACTTGTCTTGACGGACTGTGAGTTTGGAGGGGCAGGTCTGGGGGATTCATCTTCCCCACTCTAAATGCTAACAAGTGTTCTTTGAAGGCCACAGCTGGATCTTGTTACTAAGATGGGGCACCCCCATGTGCTGTTTGCTGTAAGCAGAGTGGATGAGTCACCTCTAATCATTGGCTGCTCAGGATAAAAAATGCAGTTTGCCCTCTGTGCAGGGAGATGGGATATGGGTGGGAATTTTGGTGAATAGTGGAATTCTAATAGATATGGAAGTGTTATGATAAATGTAGTAAGACACTTGCCTTTGATATTAGCCATATAACTTAAAAATTATGCAACTACTAAATATATTCTATGCATATTATGCAGAACACCTTTTTCCAAGTTTACTTTGAGGCAACTTGCAAATGGACTATATATATAAATTCTTACATGGTTTTTATATGTTTTTTTCCTCTATTGTGTCAAGAGCTCTATTATCAGCAGAGCCGTGGACACATAGAGATGTTTCCCTGGCTACTTGCTATGCCCAGGTGCCAGCAAGCATGTCAGGATGACACTAGGAGCAATAGCAACAGCTTTAACCACACGACAGGGTTTTTCCTTTAGTCCAAGGATGATTTGCCAAACATTATCGATAGCCAAAGTACTTTAAAGGTCAAAGGGGAAATTGTTTTGTGTCTCGGATGTCAGTCCTAGGAATGGGAGTTTTACCAATGAGCCAAATTCTTATCCAGTTCCTCTCGTGAACTCGCCAGAATTCTACTCTGAACAGTGCTCAGCACTCACAATTGGGGTGCCTTTGTTGATTTTCGAAGAGGGGAATTATAAACTTTGCCCACAGCTTTCAATATTCCAACGCATTTTTCAAGCCACTTTCCTCATTATCCATCTTTCTGTTTAGGCTCAATCAGGGTCCACAGAGGCCCATTGACTTTGAATGTGTTACCAGACAGGTGCTTTTAAAGAGCAGCTGCCATCAGGGTGAAAGGTTTGGACAGTTGAATAAGATTCATTTCCCTCCAGTAAGACTTCAAGGGAAAACAACTTTTTCACAGCTGTGAAGTTGAGTGAGCTCAGCATTAGTCAACAATTTAACATGTATCACTAATCAGCAAGAAAACATAAACAAGGTTTTGGGATTCTCCCCCCCCCTTTTTTTTTGCAGAAGGGATTAGAAAATGGTTTTAAAAATTGAGCTTTCAAATTACACTTTCTTAAGTGTGATTCTTAGGTGCTCTGGGAATTACCAAGTGACTTTAAATGGACTTTCCCCATCATACTTTGTTTTGACATTGTAGTAAATTGGCACTTGGATTTACAAAAATAGAAATAAATACCAAGTTAATCACTAGAGCTTAGTAATGAGTAATAACCTTTGGGGGGGGAGGTGGTTATTTTGACGTCATTTCATATGAAGTATTAATTAGCTCTGGTGACCTAGTGGGTAAGGAGTTGGGCATATACAAGTGGTTCAAATCCACCAGCAGCTCTGTGGAAGCCAGATGGGCAGTATGATTTGCAGCCTGAAAACCTGGAGAGTCAACTATGAGTTAGCTCCAACTTGATGGCATATGACAACTTATGTAGCAGAAAATTAATTCTCAGAATGTTGGGACATTGATTAGAAGCTATCCAGACAGCTTTGGGATTTTTAAAATTCAGATGGATTAACTTTTTTAAGGGTGAAGATATCAAAGTTTTAAATTGAACTTTCTTGCTGTAAAAGCAAAATGTTTTAATTTTCCCATTCTTGGTCTTTCTGTTCACTGTTTAGCGCCTTCCTTAAGGACTCTTCCTCCTTGTGACTTGAAACTTTATCAGGGTCCTCAAAAATATTGGCTGAGACACTGCATCAAAGATGAGACAGGCAGAGAGTGCTGTTAAGCAGCATTGTGGTCCTAGGTGTCTCTTCAAAAGTGCATTAGAGCCAGCAGCCCATTCTCTAGGTGCTCGCTGTCTCCATCTAGTGGCTGCAGTTAGGTAGACACTAATGTCACACCAGAAGGTAGATGGGCGTGTGTGTGCATCAGGGTGGCATCAGAGCAGCGCCATGAGAACACGGGCTGCATTGATACTGTGAATGTTTCTTTTCCAAGTTGTAATCCACGTTTATTTTTATAATGGTCTAGGGTAGTTTATGTTAGGTGTCATTGAAGTTAGGCATCAAGTAAGACTGTGCACCAAATGTTCAAAGCACTAATTTATGAATCGCTTTTATTCCCTTGTCTACAGACTTTAGTAGCTGGAGGTTTTTGGATTCTGGTTTGGTTTTTTTTTTTTAAGTCTTTTTTGTCTTGATGAGAGTGGTGATCTAGAAGCCATTCTTCATGAACACTAACTGTCAGTGTTTTGGGACAAAGGTGCTCATGATGGTGTCTGTGGATATTGTAACTGCTTTAAGGACGTGCCTGTGTCTATCCTTCATAGAGGGACGAAAACTGATGCTTAATTTTGTGTATTTTTTGATGTAGCAATAACAAAAAAAGCAACTCTGCTTATTGTTTCAGTTGAAAACCTGCTGTGAAGAAAAGGGTTTAGACAGCGCACTTTATTAAAAACAAGTCTAAGTTCAGCACCAGCCGTGGATTCCTGTGTGACCTGGCCAGTCACTGTTAATTAGCTACTGGTCAGGTGCTGGTCTCAGCTTCTGCGTGGACCTCATGGCCCATCTACATGAGGGTTACAGATTTCCTCCCGAAGCAGAAAGGGAAAGGTGAATGTATAGTGTTGCCAACGAATGTGGGTGTTTCCAGGTAATAAGCTCCAGGACCTCTGGTCATGAAACCTCAGAGTCCAAGTTGGTGGACACTGGGAGTCAGAACCCTGTTCCTTCCAGATGGGAGGCTGACCTCATTATCAGTGTAGACCCAGATGCCAGGCCCTCTCTCCAATGCCCAAACCTGCCCAACATGATTACCAAAGCAGCCAGCTCGGTAATGAGGACACTGGCAAGTCCTGCAAAACAAACTCAGGTGACTTTTGGGTAAATTTTCTTAGCATTCCTGTTTTATGTGTGAGGAGGTTTTAGACATAAACTGTCTAGTTTGCTCAGCTACCAGCTGGTCAGTAATGCACCATTTTATGTTTTATTTAGCTTTGTAAATATTCTTCAATATATGTCAACCCTACATTAAAAAAAATGTTTTCCAGATATGTGATGGCTTGTTGATCAAGTTTGATGATAAATTTGCATTGCAATGATTGTATTCTTAGGTAGCACTTTAAAGAGCAAGTTATGGTCCTGCACCAAACCAGTGCACGTAGGCTGCGGACGAGTCCACTTGGAGAAAATGTGGCCGGAGCATGAATGATGTTTAGGGAAATAAATGTGCACATGAAACACCAAGCACTGTGTTGTCTTTGCTGAATTCTGTACTGTTCTGGAAGCCCTGCTGTCTCCTCTGAGTGTATCTAAATTACAGGTTTTCTTTTTACCAGATGTCCCCACAGTCACTGCGTGTGATCATCCATGTGAAAAAAAGATGAGCCATTTGCTCAATTTTGCATCTTTATTGCTTAGTGCTTGGCAGGTGGCCTCTCTCCCAAGCATTCTTCTTGGATGATTTACAAGCCATTTGGCATCATGCTCACTGTATCCCCAAGTGGTGCAAATGGTTTGTACTTGGCCATCGACCAAAAGGCTGGCAGTGAAAAGCCACCCAGAGGTGCCATGAAAGAAAGGTATGGTAATCAGCCTCTGTGATGACCACAACCAAGAACACCTGTGGGGCAGCTGTGCTCTGTAACACACCAGGATCACGTATTTAGAATCAGCCAGAGGCCAGTGCATTCATGCTGAGGTGGAAAACATTTCATACAAAAAGCACGGTCTCAGTGGCCTTTGGGTCACTACAGGTCAGGGTCCATCTTAGCCGGGGTCCCCTGAGCAGTGAAGCCAGGGACAAGGGTCATGTATGGGTGGTATCTGTGGAAGACTATCAGGGCACAGGCATTCAGGTAACAGCTGGGATGGGACCCTATCTGCCCTGCAGGGACCTGCTGAGAGCACTGTCCACTTGGGGGTGGAGTAGGCAGGGGGTGACCCGGTTGTAAAATGCTTGCCCAGGATGGGCCCCATGGTGAGGGGAAAGTGAGCCCCTGGGAAGGGTCAAGGGAGAAGGGAAGCAGCACAGGCAAGGTGGGCATGGTGTCTTCACCCGCGTGAGGCCCCTGCTGCGTGTGGGGACCCTGCCACGGTGACCAGGCTCAGGGTGCAGTGGAGGCTGAAGGGGTGTACAGCAGTGTCCTATACAACCTCCCCACAGACATCCTGTCTCTTCACCAGCGTTCTTGGTTTCCCTGCCACGATTTTCGGGTACCCAAGTGCCAGCATACATTTTAGAGAAGCACTTGCTGAGAACATTATCTGAAACGGCAGTCCACCTACTGTGAGTATCCTGGGGCTGCTGTACCAGTCGCTCACGGTGGAGGGCTTAGAACAAGATTTATTCTTTCAATTCTGGAAGCCTGCGATCTGCATGCAAGTGTAAGCAGGCCATTCTCTTTAAGGGCTCTGGGGGAGGGAACTTCTTTGCCTCATTCAGCTTCTGGTGGTTGGTGGTGGCCTTGAACTGTGCCTATGTAACTCCTGCTTCTGTCCTCACATGGCCATCTTCTCTGTGACTCTTTTATAAGAAAGTGGATTAGAACCCACTCTACTGCAGGAAGGGTGCTCTGGTGCC